TAAACTTTCAATTTTTCTACCTTCTTCTATGAAGATCTAGGCCTAGGTACATCTACAGTTGACTATATACCAATGTCAAATTCTAACTAGGAAAATTGGTCTGTAAGGAGGCAGAAAGAAGGGCCTAAGAAAATCTTTAAAAAGCTACAATGCTTTAATGAAATTCTTCATAAGCTGTCATTAAATATTTTACATTCATTACTTTTCAAATTTATTTCCAACAGGTTCCATACAAAACCCAGGATTTTAAAGTACAACTTTTAATATTACTTTGTAGCTGTGGAAAGAACACCTAAACCAAAACAGGGCTGATAGTGGGCACATTTTCAAAAGATCAATATGAAAGTATTCCAAACAAATTAATAAGTATATTAATTATATGACAGTAATGCATGTTTGCTTTCAGTGGAATTGCACAAGTCCTTGTGTATACAAAGGTATGTTTTTAAGCAGTCATTTAAGTACTTAATCTTGATTCTATTTAAAGACTCTACAAAGCTTCCTTATCATATTGCACCACTAGGGTAGAATTTTGTGCCTTGTCATTCTCTGCCAATAGTATAACCTCACTAGTCAGCCATTTGTTTACATTACAGCATTGACTTATCTTGTTGATGCTTCCAAATGAAAACTGGATATGGGATAATTTATATTTATACGTACGCACACGTTCGTAAAATAATTCTGCCTTGGGGGAGTAGATCTCCCTTTTGTGAACACCGTGGGCAAAGAACACATACTTCTAGGCCTTACTTGTTTTACCAATTATTTAAAAAGGTATTTTTCCTCCATGTAATCGATTCCCCTAACTCCTTAGGACTAATATTCTAATAATTAACTCAGAGAAAGTAATGCAAATAAAGGCAAAGGTACTTAATCATCCGTTTCATTCAGCACATACAGGTTTTTTAATTAGCATATTAAGAACAAGAAAAAAGGCTCAACATTATTTTTTGAATAAGGCATGTGATAGGAACTTGGTAATCAGCATTAAAAAACACATAGTTAGACTGATCAGCACAGTAAGACAGATCTTATGATCACAGTAAATTTAATCTTAATTAATCCTGAAGTTAGGAGTAATATATATAGCATACTACCATTGTATTCCAGTATGAGTGGTAAGAGTGCCCCCTCCTTTCTGTTACATAATAAATCACAAGCTTTGAAGTATAGAACTGCTTATACAATCTTATACAGAACAGTGCTATGCATGTTTACTCAGATGTAGGCCCCTGAGTTCAATGAGACTTATTTCCAAGTAAATGTGTCAAGTCATTCTCTACTCAATAGTCATTAAAAAACCCCTCAAGTTTTTCTCAGCTGTGGTTCTACTAGGCTCCACACTAATTTGTATCAACAGAATTCTCAGTTCTTTACACTTTTGAGTAAGAGCCTCCATTTTCATTTCTAGAGACTGCAGATTTATCTGTAGCCTAACAAAATTTTGAGCTGTTAAAAGCAAATGTTTCTAGGGAAGCAAAGATATACTCAACTTTACTATCCCAGTCCCTCATTTTGGGTGCTAACAGGTCACTGTTACTTCATTACAACCCTCACTCTGTACAGAAAGATAATACAATTCAGACCCCTACACGTGAGGGCATGTGTGTACATAATAGGCAATATCCAATAGCATCATTCCAGAAACTCAGATAGCATTAGTGAACTCTGCCAATTTTTTCTGTTGTGTAAGAAGTTGTGCATTACATTTGCACACCAGCTTGATTAAGCATAATGTGCAACCCAGTTTGCACAAACAAAACTTTAGCTGAATTCTTCTCATGCGCACTAGCTGCCACCCATGCAATGTCATTTACGCTAACAGAATAAAAGAGCTGGATAATGCCCTTTGAGTACCATAAAAGAGTTGCTGGATATTTAACCTACAGTATGGAAACAGAATTAGATAAACACCTGAGTCATTAAAGGAGGTCTGGTCAAGCCCTCAGAAACTCTGTGTGGAGTTTGTGCAACACTTTGAGGATAAAATTGCATGGCTCCTTGGACTGTGCAGTTATTCCAGTACCATTGGCAGAAGCGTCCAATGCACTGAATTGTCCCATTCTACTGGATGCGTTTTAGCTTTTGTAGCCTGATGATGTGGACAGGCTGCTTGAATCTGTCCAGCCTACAACCTGCTCTCTCTGGCTGTAAAATCTAAAAAGGAGATTTGGGTTTGGAGTTTGTTAATGCCTCTCTTAGAGAGGGAGTGGGCTGGCTGGATTGGGAGTAGAAGGCACTGTATTGCAGTGGTTCTGTTCCTACCTGACCAGCCAATTTCAGAATGTGATGCTGGGGGATTATTGTTCTGCACCACAGCACTTATACCACGGGATACCGCAGGGTCCATTTTATCCCCTATGCTATTTTATTTATTTATTTATTGCATTTGTATGCCACCCCAAAGCCAGAATGCTCTCTGGGCAGACCCCAGTGCAATCATAAACAATGATACAGAGAAAAATAAATGAGAATAATAACTAAAATCATAATACATAATAGAGTAAAAATACAATATAAAACAGGATAAACACAATATAAACAATAAAACAATTTAACATCCACATGAAACTGCAGGAGATTAGGATATGCAGATGACAGCCAGCTCTACCTTTTTTAAATCAAACCCAGGTCAGGCAGTAGCCATTCCAAACTGGTGTCTAAGCATGGTAAATGGACTGGATATGGGCCAATAAACTGAAATTTGGTTTGGATTATTAAATATTTAATATATTTACTGTAATTATTACTATTTTATTAGTATCACCTTAATGATATCATGGTTTTTATTCTGTGATTTTACAGTGCTGAGCCTGTGGCTAATTGGGCAGCATAGAAATTAAACAAACAAAGCAGGCAAGCAAGCAAGCAAGCAAGCTAGCTAGCTAGCTAGTGGTGGTAACAGAAAAGTCACCAAAAGATACTCCTCTGCATTCTTACTTGTGTGAAAAAATACTTCAGGATAAAGACTGTAAATACATCACCTGTGAACTGATATTCACTTAGATATTTGGTCTACTGTTGCTGAAATTTACGTATAATTCTTAGAAAGCTGATTTAAAAAAACACGATTTATGTACATACGTTAAAACTGATATTAGAACTTATGTAGCTACATTTTAAATTTTTCTCTTCTTTTGTTAACATTTAAAAATAATGGCTTATTTTTTAAAAATAAAAAGCTGAAATCCAACACATATCAAAGGCACCAGTTTGGGGAAGAGTAATATATAGCTCATGGCCTTAGGCAAACCACTTTCTCCTCCCCTCTCCCAGCCTCAGTAATTTATCTGAAATACTGAGATAGCACTGAGCTATCATACAGAGCTGTACCAACAAGAGAATGGATATGAAGTTCTTTCTGCACTTTCAATAACTATATAAACATAATAGCTTTAAAAATTATCTCAGAGGACAGTGTTTTAAAACACTGGAATGCAAGAGTTAGGATGCAATTTTGTATGTCTACTCAGAAAAAAGCCCTTCTGAGTTGAATGGGATTTATTCCCAGTTAACTGTGTGCAGGATTGCAGATTCAATCTCCAAGATAGGTTACTACATATGCATTAACTCCAAAACTTTATTTAAAAAAATTATCACAAACTTATGCAGGGCAACAAAATTTATGAACAAAGCATTTCCCTCCTTATCCACTAAGAAAGATATATTTACTTATAAACATAGTCAATAATGAACACTTGGTTTGCATCTACAGTTATTGCCCCAAAATCACATGCATTGTTTCCTATTTCAAATTTTAAGAATTTTGCATTAGACATAGTAGGACCTGAAAACATGCAGACAGATCAATCAATCATTTCTCCATTAACTGTAATTATTACTGGAATGTAATTTCTCAAATTGCTTGTTGTTGACCATTTAGGGTGCACTCCTATGCATGTTTAGAAAAAAGCTCTACAACTCTCAGCGCTGCCCAGCCAGTATTAGAGTTCTAGGGATTTTATCTTTCTAAATATGCACTGGATTGTCCCTTTAGTCTTAAAGTTAATGAGGTTATTCCCAAACATATGGCTTGGGGACAACAGTTCTCCATTGAGAACCATTATACTGAAAAGAACATTATTTGGAGCTATTTCCATATTAGTCATAGGCCTTAAGAGAAATGCAAGGTATTGTGCATGAAAAGATTAGCAGTATTCTCTAACAATGCAATCTTATTTGATTTTTATTTTTACCCCACCTGTTTACACAAAAAACTATAATACAACATGTCTTACAAAAGGTCCTACAAATCCAAACATTCACAGACAGTCAGAGATTTTCTGCTAAAATAGGCAAAAGGCTGCACCCTAAACTAACCAAGCATCCATACTCTAGGTTAGGGCTCCCTTCTTGGATTTTAATCAGTGCTAGAATTACCAATATTTCTAATCTAAGCTTAATGTTTTTTCTCGCCAATGACCAAAAGGCAAGTTTGACTAAGAATTTAAAACATGAAAAATCCAGTTTCTCTATACTAACAAATGAAATTTCTTTGAAGAATTGGGCCTGGAGCCTGTAATGTGGTCAGTGCGAAAGACAGTGGCAAAGAAAAGAGTACACATCTTTATATATAACAACGGTAATATAAAGAGAGGGCCCCAGGGCTTGGTATACAATGAAAGGAAAGTTAAGAGACCGAAACTACATGTCTCTCCTGCCTCATCTCTTCTTCCTAAGAGTATTCAGCACTCCTCCACTAACGTGATGTCCTCTAGATGTGTTAGACTGAGCATCTCCCAGGCAGCCCCGCTAACCTCTGGGAGCTGCAGTCCAACGGACCCAAAGACATCAGACTGGGAGAATGAGGCTGAACAAAGCTACCCCTGCACCCCAGTCGCTTTTACCCCACCTGTGTGTCTCGAGAGGCCAACACCACATCAAAGGTGTAATAAGTTACTCTGTGCTTTTTCTTGAGTTCTGTCCGCTCCCGCGCATCGAAACGGGCCGCCCTGACACTGCGCTCATCAGTCTCCCCTTCTGCTTTCCCCGCGTACCTGTCCAGGGTCTGCGGCATCACCAAGCCCGTCTGTTCTGACATCCTCTCCGGGTGCGGGGAGCCCGGGGGCTCAGCTACAACAGGCGCCAGGAGCCGGCCTGGAAAGGAAGGCCCACAGCCTACCACAAGGAAGCCGACACAGGGTACTTCAAAAAGCTCTAGACGTTTTCTTCTTCGCTGCCGCACCAGGGGACAAACAATGCTACCGAACCTACAGGACTCTTAGCCAGACAAGCTACGCAAGCCCGTTAAGAGAGAAAAAGAAGGTGGGGAAAAGAAACAACAGGGCCGCAGCGTCCAGCGGTAAGGGAGGAGCGAGAGCAACTGCGCACGCGTCGCCTCTTACCTCACAGAGGAACTACCATCCCTGTGCCTTGTTTTCCCTTTCACCCGCTCCAAGCAAGACACGAGAGAGAGCGCCCAAGGCACCATGGGAAATGTAGTTCCCTCTCCTTCCTACCCCTGAGGGAATTTAAATCCCCCTCCCCCTTCTTCTTCTTCTAACGGCGCGCGCGTTACGATTACACTTACTCCGGCCTTACCCGCAGCTGTGTGCGAGCGCGGGGGCGGGAGGGGTTTATCTTCGGCTGGGGACGCGGCGAGATGGCTACACTCGCTGCGGGAAAGGTCAGCACCTTGCCACTGTCAATTTCTCTGAGGGTTGCTCTTACTCCCCCACCCCGGTTCCTCGTTGTCTTTCCTATCTTTGGGATGGGGAGAGACTGGCGAGTGCTCCAAAATTGTGTTGCGGTAATATTAACTGACCCCCCCTTTCTTCACATTCTTCTTTTCCTAGTCAGTAAGGCAGTTCTTAAGGGGGGGGGGTCCTAGCTACGGTGAGAAGCTAGTATTGTGACTTCCCCCCTCGCCTTTCGTTTTCTTTCCCACGCATACAACCGTGCCTCGTAGGTACCAGTAAATTCAATAGCTGACAACTTTTACCAATAAGACCCCCGCTCCCCCACCACTCTTCTTCTCGTCATGCATAAATTGCCTTTTTGTGGAAAGGGATGGCTTGGCTTTTTAAAAAAATAGCAAGTTCTTGACTGTGTTGGTCTAAAGAATTTTGTTGTCATACCCCTAACCGACATAATTGACTGCTAATTTCTACCAAAAGATGCTACAGCTGTTTTCACAACAACAAAGAAAATACTTGGTTGTTGGAAATAAGCAAAGAAGCTTTAAGAAAAATTTGGGCCAGAATAATTCTCTTTCAAGAGTGCTGTGATTATTTCTTTCTTTCCTCCTGGAGGTTAAAAGCTGCTGTTTGTGCCAGTGTTTCCTGACCCCTAATTTCCAAAGCAGAGTTCTAGTCAGCCCTCTTGGATGGGATGGGAGATGTGTAGACTTGACAATACATATTTGTTTACAAACATACATGCTGAGCAAAAGCAAAGGGCAAAACATCTGGCTGAATAGTACTAAATTTCTGGCTGGAAGTCCAAATTTTCCCATTTAGTTTAATGCATGGATAATGTAGATGAAAGGCAGCTAAAGAAAAAGTGGCATATATGAGTCTCAGTGTAAAAATAATCAACTACACTATTAATGCTAATCAAGGTGGGCCTACTTTCTGGAAAGTTTTTGGAATGAGGCAGAAGAATTCTACCCCTTTTTTATCTTTGGCCAACCTTAAAAAAAAACTAAATATGTCCAGTGATTTACCAAGTAGCAATATGGAAATAAGTTGCTTCACATTTCTGTCAGTTTAATGGGTTTCAGGTATTGGAGTATGAGCTGTTTCATATAGGTACAGTTTATTCATTGTACATCTTCATTGCAATAAACTCACAGATAACATCTTACTAAAATTTCAACGGCAAGAAACATGCCACAATAGTTCACTCAAAAGTTAATAGTTTGCCCATTAGTTGCAAAGACTGTATTGTAGAGCTTCCTTGTTGATTATATTCTCTCTTAGAAAGGGAGGTGTAATAGCTAGCAGGCAGCTACAAATGCTTAAACTTCTAGCTCTCAGTACCTAATAAAGGAACATTTTGCTAATGTAGAAAATAAGTTATCTTTCATATTGAAAGAGGGTGCTTACAACAGTATGTTGACTTTCAGGGGATTTGCTCTCTTTCCTTGGGGCCATGGATATAGTAAAGGTGTAGTTCAGTTAAGCAATAATCCTATGGGATAATTCAGCCATGTGATGCAAAATGTATACCTTTGAAGCTAATTGCTTGTAATTTAATATTGCAATTTATATCCTGCCTTTTTCCTACAAAGGGCTCAAGGCAGCTTACATCATCTCTCCTCCTCCATCTTATCCCCACAACAACAACCCTGTGAGGTAGGCTGGGCTGAGAGTCTGTGACTGGCCCAAAGTCACCCAGCTGGCTCCATGGCTGAGCAGGGACTAGAATCCAGATCCTCTGAGTCCCAGTCCCATGCTCTTAACCACTACACCACACTGGCTCTGCACATAAGTACGTCATTTTAATTTTTTTTTTTTTTTTTGTGTGTGAGAGGAAACAAAGTTGCTTCAGAAGTGGCACTCTCATTCTAAAAGAGTGAAGTTTTAGAATAAGCCTGCAACATAATTTTTGGTATGCTTGATTTTCCTAGACAGAAACCTAATCACTTAATTAGTATTTTATGAAGAATTCAAATTTCTTCTCAGCGATAACTTTTCTCTCTCCAATATTTTATGTTTATAGAATAACCAATATTAGATTTGAAGCTGTTAAATATGTCAGGAAGCTCCTGGGAATAAAAATATAGCAGGATATAAATTACTTAATTCTCAGTAATGGGGTGTGTTAGAATTCTTGTGGGACTAATTATTTCCTTGTGCTGACTAAAGCAGACTTAGAAGGCTTGTGAGAAAAGTTGTCATACAATGAAAATACAATCTTTGTGGTGATATCTAGTGATACCAGCTGCTTGTTAGCTTTAATTTATTTGCTTACTGAAGTATGTATCTTTTGCATACTGGGTTAAATCCAACATCATGTTAGTAGAAGCCTGCTAACACAATGGTACTTTTTCTCTCTCCTCCTCCTGACACCATTCCTTACCCCTGAAAACTCTGATATGGAAAATTTGCTAGTCTTCTAGAGCAGATTTTGAAGAAATCTCCCCTTACTGGTTCGGCTGATGGAAACAGTTTCAGCATTTGTATTATATTCATAATTTGGTCACTGAGTGCATATCTTCTAAATACATGGATGAAGCAACAAATAACCAGGGGCAGGCTGATCCTGCCTGTTTCTCTCAAGTCCTTTTTAAATTTACTCCTCCACATCCAGTGCTGGGTCCAGGATGTGGGTATCTTTAGAAAAGGCACCATTATGGACCTCCTTAACTGGAAAAATACAGGTGTGCAAGCCTCACACATTTCCTCTGACCTCCTTTGGACATACTGTTCAAGGCATGAATGTTCTGATGTTGAGGCAGTGGAACTTACATGCCAAGCTTGTCCTAATGCTTGGCATATGACTGATTTGGAACAGCTTCAGTAGTCTGTTACATAGAAATACAGAATTTTGCTCACTACTGTGGTGGAGAGGGTAAGGCAGGTTGATTAACAGACACTGGGGAGGAATGGATAGCAACAGCTACAATGGCATCTTCCGCTTGATCAGTAGATGTAAAGATAAGCGCTTCTCTTCAAGGCTGCAATCTGATAAATCTCAAAATAAAAGCAAAATTTCGAAATGTTTTCACTGTTACACATTGTTAGGGCTTTGTTCCTAAGTGAAGCTGTATATTTTGCTTTTGCAACACTTTTCTGTATCTTGCAGAAATGTGAGAGTTCCAAATGCAGCTGGATTGCCTTATACTTATGTTATCATCCTACCTTACTCATTTGTAGCTCCTTTTAGACAGTAGTGTGAGAGCAAAAAAAGTTTTGGTTTCTAAATGCTTACTGTGCTCTTTCTATATACTTACAAAAGCCATTCCATGAAGTACTAATGATCCAATTAAGACTTTCATAATATGTGTTCTGAATGCTTTGTTGGTTCATATTTTAATTTAGGCCACCCCTCCCTTTCCCATGACCAGAAAGGGAAGCAAGCAATTCATTAGGTATTTGGGACATGTTTAATTTCTGTAACCTCTTCTCATCCCTAATATATATTGACACCAATAGGTGTGTGTTTTAGGTATGACCAACTCTTAATTATGACTTTTGATCTACATTGTCTTTAATTACCTAATTACATTCAATTCATGTTGTAGATTCATTTTTTTTTCTCAGGCAAATCTCAGCCTTACATCGTAAGGAAAACAGATTGTAGTCTTTTGTGAACCTTTTTTTATAAGTTGAAACACATATGCACTCACAAAACACCCCCTACTGGTTTTCAAAAGAAATCAGATACAGTGGTACCTTGGCTCACTAACGCCTCAGTTCACGACCAAATTGGATCGTGAACAGAAATTTCAGAAAAATTGCCTCAGTTCATGATTGCTATCGCAGGATTATGGTTTGGACTCCCTCCCCCACCTAGGTTAGTGTTCTCTACTGTACTGTACTTTGTTGTTCTTTGTTACTTTGTTTCAAATTTTTGTGATTAAAAAAGTTTCAGAACAATTAACCTTATTTACATTGAACCTTATGGGGAAATTTGACTTGGGTCACCACCAATTTGGGTCATGATCAGAATCCTGGAACAGATTAAGTTCTTGAGCCAAGGTACCACTATTTTACAACCTGAAGTAAGAGTATAACAATAAAATATTATAATTGCATATAATAATGCAGTTAAGACCCAGCAGCCTAAAATAGCAAAATAAGCTAAAGCGATGGTAGATTTAAGGGAAGGGATGTCCCCAAGACATTCCAGGGAAACAAAACAACAAAGTCTGCTCTTATTCCAACCCAAAGGCATCTGAAAAGGTAGGTCTTTACTTGGTGTCTAAAAGTGTTCTGCATTATGGCTAGTTAGACTTTAAAAGATCAAGCCATAGGGTTGACACCAGTGCAAATCAAATAGCGCTGTTGTGATATGTTTAACCAATGCTATACAAGACAATGGCAAGGCAGTAATATTTTCAATAAACTGAAGTGCAGGAACATTTTTCAAGATAGCCCCATGTAGAGGATGTATCAGTCTAGTCTGGAAATTGAAGAATGAATGATGATGATTTGTACCTGGCATACCAACCAAAGCACTTCTGGGCAATTGCCAACATCAGCACTGAGGGGAAGAGTTGCCTGTGAGGCTGCAAACCTGATTCTTCAGGAGGAATGCTCTGTCCAAGAGTGGTTGCATTCCCAACCTCAGATCCACCACTCAAATTAGCAGCAGTTCTCTCTTATCTGAATCTATACTCCTTCATTGCTTCAAGCAGCAATTCCGGGTTTCCATTGCCACCCTCAGATCAGATGATAATTAAGAGGGGTGATTTAGTTCTGGGGAAAAGCCCATTGAGCTCTGTTCTTTGAGTTTTGAATAAATTTGTGTAGGATCAGATTTCTCTAATCAGTGCTGGTGGCTGAGATCTTCCATAGTCAAAACCAATGTTATTATGTAAATAAATATCCTTTTATATCTTAGTACTACCTTACTTAAACAAAGCTTTTGCATCTTTTCTTCCCTAGATATCTGTGGCAAACAAAAAGCTAATTGGTTATAATTAGGAAAATATGCAAAACTTTGAATTTAATTTAGGAAAATCACTCCATCTTATTATAACAGAAGAGAACTAAGAGTGATTTGCGCTGATGCTGCATATTACGTAGTCACTCAGATTCACAGCTTTTCAAATACATCAAGCATATACTATACTGCCTGTGTAGAATCTCTTGCTTTAGTAGAGCCTGAGGGACAGATACTATGAAATGGATATGCCTTGCTTGCAAACTTCAGAGGAGTGTATGGCTAGCAACTTTTTTTTTGGAAAATGTTTACAAGATAGCTTTCAGAGCCATGCCAAGGAAAGAAGATAGATTTTTTAAAATCAGAAACTTCAGGATGCTCTCTGTGTGAGTACTCGAGGGAGAGAGGCAGGGATGTCGCTTTTTTTCTGAAGATCCCAATACTGTCTGCTTCAGATCTAGCAATGTACTTGCTCACTTTATTTACACACCAGTCAAATCATTAAAAGAAAACACCCTCTAATGTTTTGACTCACGTCTAAGTAAAGATCAAACAGGCTTGTTCATAATAATGCTTATTTCCGAAAGTACCTGTTAAACCAGTTCTCTCCTGAAGAGTCGTATTTATATTGCAAGATGCTTGTCCCTTCGTTAAAATGTACACCGAAGCTTTGAAAGCTCTTTTCCCAGCCTGCCTCTAATCAAGAAAAGACTTCAATCCCCACAATTCCATAGGTGCGCATGCGTATTAAGCTTGTAGTTGTCAAAGTGCTCTTGTCAGAGCAATTTCTATTTGTCATATAGCAAACCCGAAAGAAGGAAATAGACATACAGTTCCTTCCATTATTGATCTTTAAATACAGAATACTCAAAAGGTAACATTAGAGATTCTGCCTTGACTTGGTGGGTTGCTGCATGCAAATGATGTATTATTATGGGGATATTGGTTTTCCTGTACTGTACCTTAGACTGGCACAAATGCATATACTGGAAGAGAAAGGGTTTGGGGAATCAGTAGGTGCTGCATATTAGCCATAAAATATTTGGCATACTTGGTTTTTTTCTTTTTGGACTAATATCCAGTTTTACTGTTTGGTTTGTGTGCGTTCACTTGACCTTGACAAGGAGGGATGGAATTTGTAATGAAATCTTACATGTAGAAGTGGATATGTCAAGGCAATCTTCTATAGATGTGGGAAACAATGCTAGGTAGAGTCTTATGCTGAAGTCACAAAGGTATGTAAAATAAGTGTTGTACAGCTTATCTGCTGTACTGGAAGGAACAATTTTCATGTTAGTATTAGCCATTGTTTGTATAAATATTTTCCTACATAGGCTGTTAAAAAGCCAGAGAGAAGCAAGTTACCTAGCTGTTTTTTTATATGAAATCTCTTGTATTTATTTTATCTAACATATCATTGTGTTGATTTTGATTGGTGAGCAGCTAATGGAAAAGTACACAAAGGCTGTAATATTATGGCTTACTGCAGTGCTGCTTTAAAGGTTTCTCTGCACCCCCTACAGCAGCAGTGCTGCGTGCCAGAGATGTGCTAGTTTATTCCTTTTGGGATTAGGAATTTAGCTTAAAGCACTATATATATATATATATTCATTCTCTGAAAGACATTATTTTTAGATTGTTATTCATAGCCCATAAAGAAAATTATCTTTATCTTGGGAAATATTCACATTATGGATTAGTGCCTATAGATTTTTTTTGTTGTTGGAATTCATTTAATTAACTACCTTTCTTAAAAGATCTTGTGAATTTAGGAACCTTTTGAATTTAACAGATGTGAAAATGGAAGTTGCTCTCAATTCTCTATTTTTCTCAAATCCAGTGTCATTTTGCTGAATGAAATTAAATGGTAAAGTAATGCAAGTGATTAGAAGACTATGGCTAGGGTAGTATATTGCAAAAATTTGTGGAACTGTGGAGCCTTACCTAGGTGGTTATCTTTTGTTTGGCCTGTTTTGCTGTTTAGTGTGATAGCATTCTTGAAAGTAAGGCGTCTTTTAAATTAATCATTCTTATTATTAATATTTGTTTTCTGTCTAATGATCTATATTATCAGTTTCCTTTTAAGTAGTCTTATGGAAATGCTTCTGTAGATTGGCTACAGGGAAATGGTAGACCATCTAATTACTTTATCCAGTTTTATGTAGGATGACTGTTGGAATAATCTTTTGGCTCAGAGTAATTTCATTCTTTAATGATTAACAGTGCAAACCTATTTATAGCTATTCAGAAATAAGTCCCCTTACATTTAAGGATGTTTACTTCCAAATTAGGTGCGTAAAGGATTGAACTCAATGGGATTTACTTCTAAGCATACATTGTAGATCGTTATATTTAACATGACTGAAGGAACACGGAATAAACAGTGTTCCTTCAGTGGGAAACAAAGGGGCAAAATTGGCCATTAACAGGATTAAACAAAAGAGCCAGCAAGCAAAAGTGTATATCCTGTTATGTGTAGAACGCCGCCTTTCCTCTGTAGTTTTAAAGAAATGATAGTTGGTTTAGGCTATTTCGTTTATTCAGGAGACTGAGACTCTGAATATTGAACTGTTTTCGGTTTATCTGGTTGAACCTGTATGTTGATTAATCAAAATGTGCACCCGGCTCCTTTAAAAGTCTATTCATAGGAAAGGGGGTGGGGGAGAGTAAAGGCTGCTGTCTTTTTAACCTTGCTGAAGGACGCAGCAGTATTTATTGACGTATGCAAATAACAGGGGAGGAGGAGGGTGTACGGAAAAACAGGAACAAGAATCAGTTTCTCATTGCAGGGCGAGAGCTCTGAGTTCCGGTGTAAGAGAAAGAGACGTGGCGAAATTTCTGTATATCTCTGCCCTATAAGCACATCTTTCCTTACACTGAAGGGAACCAAGACATCGAAAAGGGTGAACCATCTCGAAATGTATTTTTAAAGGCGGCATGGAGCGATCGCTCTGATTCAAACCGCTTACTCCTAAAGAGGGGGGTGGGGTGGGATTATGTATTAGTCTTGCCTTGCAACTTGCGGCTGATTTATACTTACAGTCGAATTCTGACAAACAGAAGATTAAAGCAGCCATATGAATGTTAACAGTCTTGTCTTTGTGGTTCTCTCTTCTCTATCCCTTCCTTTCATTTCAGCTGCGCAAACCATGCAGGATGATTTACTGATGGACAAAAGCAAAGCCCAGCCTCAGCAGCAGCGGCAAGATCCAAATACAGCAGAAGCCCCTTCTACACCCATCGCGTCAGAGACACTCAAACCAGAGGACAGCAGTCCAGTCACTAGCATCAGCTTAGCAGCTCCTGCCCAAAATAGCAAAGAAAAGATGCAGATGGAGTCTCCCATCTTGCCGGGCTTAAGTTTCCATCAGCCTCAGCAGGAACCTACAGCTGGCACCTCCTTGTCTCCCTCCTTTGGAAGCACCTGGTCCACTGGGACCACAAATGCAGTGGATGATAGTTTTTTCCAAGGAATTACCCCAGTCAATGGGACAATGCTTTTCCAGAATTTCCCTCACCATGTCAATCCTGTTTTTGGAGGCACTTTCTCCCCCCAGATTGGCTTAGCCCAGACGCAGCACCACCAACAGCAACAACAGCAGCAAGCCCAGCAGCAACAAAGGAGATCACCAGTTAGCCCTAACCAGGCATCTTTTGCCCAGAGAAATGCTGCTTATAGCCATCAACCCATTATGACCAGCAAACCTTCCTCCTCCTCAGCCTCCACCTCTTCCCCTTCTAGCTGGAATAACCACCAAAATGCAGCCTGGAGTACACCCTCCAATCCTTGGGGTGGGCTGCAAGCTGGCAGGGACCCTCGAAGGGCAGTAGGTGTGGGAGTGGGCGTTGGAGTGGGCGTTGGAGTGCCATCCCCACTGAATCCCATTTCACCCCTTAAAAAGCCCTTCTCTAGCAATGTCATTGCCCCACCGAAGTTCCCACGGGCTGCTCCCCTAACCCCTAAATCCTGGATGGAAGATAATGCCTTCAGGACGGACAATGGCAACAATCTGTTGCCTTTTCAGGTACTGCCTTTTAATTGAGTGCTGAAAGGGGAAAGATGAGGAAATATTTCAGTATCTGTCTTGTAATCTGATATTATGTAAAATCAAATGCCACTTTTGGCTTTCTAGCTTGTTCTTGCATTAGCCATCTTCCCTGAAATCATTCCAGGTATGCACTTACTGAGAGCATTCACATATGTCAGAAATCCTGAGTGCAAATTAGATTATTTTTAGAGTTTTTTATTTTTGTTTAAAGGTTAGAAATATTTGCTGATTGAGGCCACCCTTTCCCACATCCTCCTTCATTGCTTATATGCCTCATATTTTATACATTTTATTTGGTACATTATTCTTTAAAAGAAAAACTGAACTACAGATGTACTATAGCTCTTGTAAAGTAGATGTCTTCAAATCTGAAATGAAATAGCTGACTAAAACCAGGAACACTTGAGGAATCTAGTTAATTACCTTCTCCACATTAAGGGCTGAGCCCTGTATGCTTTAAAAGGCCCTGCCTTATTAATGCTGAGAAATGAGGTTGAACAGGATTATGTTTGCAAAATAAGGCACATGAATGCTAATAAAGTGCTGAAATTGCTGAAGTGTAATCATGATACTGTGTTCAGGGTGTGGGTTTGAATGCACTCAGTGTTGGATTGGGTGTGTGTAGACTAGAGTATCAGTCACTTTTAATAAGAAAATATATTTGTGTGGAATAAATATTTCCATTCTGTTTCATACATTATCAGAAGAAAGATACAATAGGACACGACCTTCACAGCCATATTGCAATGGAGCCTATTTACTAGCTACATAAGCCCTGAAATATTTAAAGTGGCAGTGTCCTTTGATGGTTTTGTTATCTAAGATGTCAAGGCAGATCAATTGCAAGAATTGAAACTGAGAAAAATAGAAGCTCTGAAATTTTAATGTAGAATGGAATTTGTCTTGGTGTTAAATGCTGCCTTAACTGAATAACTGGCACGTGCACTTTACCTTGTGTCCCATATCAGACTATGAGGATAAATGCCTCTTTGGTTTTTTTATGGAGTTATCACTTCTAAATATAACTAGACTGTTCTCTGAAGTTCAGTGACACTACCTTTTTTTCTACTTTTAAAGGAACACTCTTGAAAGAGGGTCTGTTTTTCAGTACATGTGATCAATAAAATAAATTGCAGTAAGAGAAACTGTATTGTTGGGGTTAGTTTAAAATGCAGTATACTCAGTGATGCAGAATAAAATGTTTAAAAGTGCTGCTTTCTTTCATTTAAACAAGTGTTGCCTACAGACTTCATTTTGCTGCTTCATTTTGTTTAAAGGGAGAGTTGCTATGTTCCTGTTGGATCTCCAGTGTTGGGGGAGGAGCATGCTCCTGCCGATCATTTCATGGTGGGCATGTTGTGAGTGGAGCCGGCTGGAGCTGGGGGTCAGACTAGATGGCCCGGGAGGCCCCTTCTGACTCGCTCTGTTTCTATGTCTCTATGTCAGTCTGGAAAGCCTTTTGGAGATAGGTGTTTTTTGAAGATAGGGATCATTCTACCTTTACTTATAGTACTTTGTCACTATATTCTATAAAGTCTGCAAGATGATTAGATGGCTCTAGCAATATATAAGTTTCCATATTAATGCCTACAATTATAGCTGGTTAGGTTAAAAATATCAAATAACTTCCTATTCACAATTAAACTACTAGAACAAGGAAATGCACATTTTCTATATTTTCTTTGCAGTTTTTACAGCCCAACCATTAGTAAATCTTTGATAAAGGAAAAAGACTATTCAGACTCAAAATAAATGCTTTGTATAGGAAAAGTGAACATAAGGTAGCAGTCTTAGTACTAGAAATTAAATGGTTCATATTATTTAATGCTTTATTTCAGAAAAAGCAAACATAATTGGTATATAAGAAATGTGATCTTCAACTGAAACATGACCTCACCATTGCAGCTTAATGACCTGAGGCTATCCTCCGTGAAATAAAGATCCTAGGAATCATTACATTTCATATAGAGGGCATATCTAGTTATTCCTCTTTCTCAGGAATTCATAAGAGTGTTGGTTCTGGTATTGGGAGGAAGTTACCTATCCAGGGCCAGCCCAAGATATTTTGTTGCTGAAACAGAGCAGCAAATGGTGTCCCTAAATACCCAAGTCACACTGCATAGTATCAAAAGCCAGGCAAGTTGTAGCAGATGCTCACACAAGCATCTCTCCTGATTTCTGGCAGTAAAAATATACTAATACAATTTGCTTTTCTTTCATAACATCCCAAATCTGTTGCCTGAAGCTACTCAACCTAGTGGCAGGGGCAGCCCTACTCCTACAGAATTTTCAGCATTCTCATCAAACTTAAAGTACTTAACCCAGATTTAATTGAGTCATGATATAACATGATATAAACCTAATATAGCATTGTAGCATAGCAGTATTTTTATTGTGCAGATGTTGACAGTGAAACACTTGGTGTTGGGAACTTGCACTAATAGAAATACAAATTGGTGCAGTTATTTTTAAAACAACATTGCTTAATGTTTTCCTATAAAGTTTGTTACATATTGTACTAGTTGGTGCTATTTGACAATATTTTGGTTTTGTAGTTTTAACTCAGTGTGTTTACTTGAATGATGTTGGGCCTTGCCAGGTGAATTGGCATGACACAGCAACCCACTGTGTGAATTAGCTATGTGGTGAACAACCCACAATGTGCGGAGCAGATCATTGAGCTTACTGAGGCTTATCCAACTGCCACTTCCATCTTGGAATTTCACTCAGTATCCCAGGTAATTTGGCAGTTAAAGCTGTCTGACTTCTCTCCCTGCTGTAATTGTGGGCCCTTTTGTGTTCACTGCAGCTTTTTTTCTCTTTCTGCCAGAGATAAATTTTTGGACGTTCCAAAGTCACAGCCAGTTATAGCCCCTGCAGAGTGCCCAGGTGGCACATTAGAGAGGTTGGTGCTAGTTTGTCACTTGCTATTTATTTCTAAGTGAAAAAAATGTGTATTTTTAGTTTATCATAATTCATTTATTTGCTTTCCATCCACAACATCCATATGGCCCAATTGTGTCTATGAATTTAAGATATCATAACATTTAAGCAGATATTTAAGACAAGTAGTACTTACTGGAAAAAGGTCTTGCCTTGCTGAAAGTATTAATAAGATGGTTCAGGGCACAGGCAGTCTCCAGGTTACAAACTGGTACAATTCCTGAGAAAATAGAAATTTGTCTTTAAGTTGATTTTGTATGTAATCATGTAGAGTTGACCCTTCACATTTGTGGGGGTTAAGGGTACAGGACCCCCATGAAAGTGAAAAAACTGCAAATATCTCTAGCCCTCCCCACCAAACTCACCAGCATCTCCTCTTTGCAATAAGGAAATGCTGAGAAGATTTTCTCTCTGGATGGGTGAGACAGGAAGGCCTCCCTTTCTCCACTTTTGCTTCCTCTCTGTATTGATGCTTTGGAGGCTCCCTCTTTTTGGCAATGACAATTTATGCCTAATTTTTAAAAAATCAATAGGCTTTGTGCCAGTTTGTTCATAGATACAGGCTGTTTGTAACTTGGTCATTCATAACTCAGGGACTGCCTTTATGCCAAATTATTTGATTGTACACCTGAAAATACTGAAAAAGGCTTTTTTCTTCTCCTTCCCCAAGTAATCTTTAGTAAGTCTCTAAATGCAAATCAAGTGGCTATTTTTAATTATTACTTTACTTAGCTAGGTTTATATGGCAGCCATCATACCAGCAAGCAAACCATTTGGCTTAAAAGTTACATTGTAGAACAGGATTATGCTATTGCTGATTCTGAAACAATTCTGTGCTTGCATTGTTACCAAGATATTCTTGAATCTCTTAGATTAAGTTTAACATTTTTAAGTGTAGCTGCAGTAGTATCTCAGTTCTGCTGCACCTATTTTTGAAAAATGCTGCATGTAGTTATGTAATTAATGCATTTAATTTTAAATTTACTTTTTTACTGGATTGGGTGTTTGTCATGTCCCTTGGAATAAGTCCATAAAGGAACAATATCAAATTCTTGAGTGCAGATTGAGAATGTGCACTAGAACTAAATTTCAGTAATGTTAACTCACCTTTAGTATGTTATGCTATGCTAGTCGCGAAGTCATGTCTGACCCATTGCGACCCCATGGACAACATTCCTCCCGGCCTTCCTGTCTTCCACCATCCCCCCGAGTCCACTAAAGCTCACACCTACTGCTTCAGTGACTCCATCTAGCCACCTCATTCTCTGCCGTGTCCTTCTTCTTTTGCCTTTTATTGTTCATGAGTATATATTTAACATCATAGCCTATGATTCTAATTATATTTAGCTTGGAAAAATATGTTTTTAATCCATATACTAACATAAGTATTGTGTCATATGCTGCTCTAAAAATACAATTCATGCTTACCAAGAGAAGAGGCTAACACTTCTAAAATAATACATATTTTACTTTGTCATTATTGACTGTGGTTTGAGAGTGATAACATAGGCTTTATCAGTTATTTTAAAATGTATTCAGTATATTTTAGTATTAAGTATGTTTTTAAGTCATTGCCAAAGCTTGGCTTCCAGAATTACCAGCAGTCAGTATACAAAGTACAGTACACTAAAACAGTTAGAACACTGGACCAGATTTAAATCTATACTTTGCTGCATTTTTTAAAAAGTCTGGGCCAGTCTCTATCTCTCAGCTCAGCCAACTTCACAGGGTTGCTGTGAGGATAAAGGGAGAACATCATGTATACTGCTATCTTGAGTACCTTGAAGGGCAGGATAAGCAGACGGTGGTAATACTACTGTTGCATTTTTATTGATACAAAATGATATTTGAGCTTTTGTCAAGCTGTGGCATATTATTGGTTATTAATGTTGTAGCTAGAAAACAATAATGTTAATGATGGCTTTACCACTCCTGACATCCTACAATAAGTCTGTTTCTGCTTAGTGGTATAATAATGGTTGCTATTAAAACAGTTAATCATAAGAAAAATTGATGGATGGGTTAGAGTGCTGTTTGAATAATTTTTCATGTCACTTAAACCCTAATGTAAAATTAATTATATGTATTTGCCACAGTCCATTTGTTGTTCTTAAGAGCAGAATGTTAATTAACTGATACCATAACTATTAAAATGAATAAAACTGATGATCTAATGTTGAATTCTGATGCAAAACCAAATAGTTCGATGCTGTTATCAAAGGTCACTGCTATTTGAGGATAATCTTGTGAATCAAATTAATGTGATCAGTAGAGATATGAATTTTATTTTGTTCAAATAATCTGTGATCTGATAACACAGTAAATTAAAATGATCAACACAAGTTTTGTAGAATTTTCCAAGGCTGTTTCCTTTATTTCAGTGAGGAACACAGTTGATAACTCTTCCCTGTCATCAATAGTTATAAAAGCTGCTAAACTAAAATAGTACTTATGCCAGATCTTATTTAATACATTGTATAGATTAAGATCAGTAAGTAAAGGTTTTTGAACATTACTATTTGATTATAAATACTCAAGTTGTAGAGGCTACTATAATCAGATATTGGAAACATTTGTATTAAATGTTGATCTGAAAACAGCACTTATAAAGGTGACTGTGAAAAGGAAGATGGTGTTTTGGTATATTTTCTGGGGTGTTTACATACCATATGGTGGATGCTCATTTGCTCACTGTGTACCCTTACTTGTAGTACAGAAATGTCCTCTTCTACTTCATACTAATTATAAAAGTCAGTAAAAATGTGGGCCTTCTGCTCATGAATTCATTTCAGTGTCACTGTTACTTCTCAAAAGTACAAGAAGAGCTCTGTTTTTTATTTTTAAAAAATTCTTAACATATACAAATACATTAAAAAAAATAAAACGGAACAACCTAAAATGAACAGAGCAAACTAAGATGAACAAAATAAGCAAAGTTGCCAAGGGAATTTTAAACACATTCAACCTATACATTCAATCCCCCAAAACTATCTATCTTCCATCTTTCAACACTGTGAGAGTTTAACAGGAAAAGAAAAACTATTAACCTATGCTGTAGTGACAAATCATCCTATCACTTCACGTCCTCTGCTGCTTTTTTCTTTTTCAAACTCCCCACAATTCCCATTAGTCATACTGAACATAATAAAATTTCCATTTACCATTGAATTCTTCTAATGATCTTCTGTTCACATAGTTAACTTTGCCATCTTGGCACATTCTACTACTCTTATTTCTCCATTCTTCAATTGTTGGGGGCTGCAATGATTTCGATTTAGAAGCCATTGTGATTCTTGCTGCTGCTGTTATATACTTGAATAACTGACATATTTTTGAAAGGATCTCTAGCAGTATATTCAAAAGCGTATTCTTGGGACTCATAGGAAACTTAGTCTTGAAATTTTTCTGTATTTCCACATGTGAAATAACCAAAAAAAAAGAAAAAAAAAAAAGGAAAGGAAATTGATACAAGTCCACCCCATATGATAGAAAGTTCCATCCACCCTGCTACATTTCCAGCATTTTGCATTGTAATTCTTGTCTATTTTTTCAATATCTTTTGGAGTGATGTGCCACTGATAAAACATCTTGCACCAATTTTCTCTTAATGCTTGACCAGCAGTGACTTTAATATCTTTTTTCCAAAGAGTTTCCCACTGACACGGTGATATTTCTTCTCCAAAGTTCTCTTTCCAAATTAACATAGAAACAGAGCAAGTCAGAAGGGGTCTCCCGGGCCATCTAGTCTGACCTCCGGCACCAGCCGGCACCTCTCACGACATGCCCACCATTAACATATCTTGATGGCTTTCAGTGTTATAATGTAGTAACAGTTTGTAGAGTCTTCCCAGTAAGTAATGTGTAATCAGCTTTTCAAAATCTGTCAAATCTCTTAAAATACCTTCTCCTAGTATTTCCCCTTTCACTCTTGAAATCAGTTGATGGTAAACAAGCCATTGTATGTTTTTCTCTTCACCTTTCAGTTGGTGCCAAGATTTGACTCGACCTGATTGATCAGTGGTGTCTTGATAAGTTATAGGATCTTTATTTTCTATAATAACATATTCTTAAGTGTTTTCCATATGCTTCAGCTGGGGACATCAAAGGGGAGATTGCTATCTCTTAACACGTGGTTGTTGTTTGATATCAAGGCCTTCTTAACTGACTCCTTAACCCACAAGAGGTTATGTATTCTCTCTTGAAGATCAGCTGTTTGCTACTCCACTAGCCTATCTTTGACATTTGCAATCCAATCTGTAATATAGACCAGGCCTGCTGCATAATAACATAACTTCAAATTAGGTATAGCAAGGCCTCCTTTCTTTCTAAGAAGAGTTCTGTTCTGTTGTGAAATGCTGGTAATATGACTTGTGCATTATTTCTTAACTAACAAATAGGATATCGGAGCAAACATTCTTGTATACACTATGTGATTCCTTTGAAGTAGTCCTTATTCCTCAACTTTTAAAAAACAAGCTTTAATATGCGTTGCTTCCTAATTGTAAGAACTACTTCTGTTCCTATAGGTTACTGAGTTTGTTGTGATCAGTGTTGAGCTTTTATGTGTACTTGGGCTGTTTCTTGGAATTAATTTAAAATAGATCATGCAGTAGTAGAAGGAGCTGTGGCAAGCAGTCAGAAGTAAAGGTAAATTCTGTGCATGTTCTGAGAAACAAGGAGCCACTACTGTCATGTCAGTACGGAGTGTTTTAAGCTGAGCAACTTCCAGGTTGTTATGTATAGGCTTAATTTACAGGACTGTACTGTATAACTCCTGAACTTTGATTTAAACCTTTAGCTTCTCCATAAATTTGAATAACAGTTTGAATAACAAACACCTCCTTTTGTGATTTTCATGGAAAAATAAGTTCTGAGTGACAATTCCTTCATTAGAACCAACTATTAGTGCACCAAATTATTAGCAAACTTTATCTCTAAATCTTGTAAATAGACTAGCTGTTGTGCAAAGTGGGCTGGGGGAGGGGGAGAAGAAAAAGCATAATGCAACACTACTTAATTTGGCTTATGTTGCCTTTTTTGATTTGTTAGAGCAAACTAATCTCTCAAACACAACAGATTTGTGTATAGCTGCACAGCTATGCAAATATGCCTTTCTGGATTTTTGAAAAACTTACCTGCAGTTATTTGCAGCTGTATAGGCATGCCAGTAAATGGAAGCAAGACCTCTATCTGCTTAGACAACCCACTCCCCTAGTTGAAGTGAAGTTGGGTAAGAAAGGTTGTCAGACCAGTTCAACAGGTTGAAGCCAGCTTCTTAACACCAAATAAAAATCCACCATAAAATATTTCTGTAAAATACTGGAATATAGTGACAGAATTTGCTGGGGGACCTTGTGCCACAATGGGCTGTGCAAGATAGGTGGGGGTGGGGGTGGAGTGGGATCCTAGTGCAAATCGTTAGGAGCCTAATCCAACTAAATCTATTTGTCCTTCTGCACTCTTTCTTAAAACTCTATCTGCAAACCTTATGATTTCACTGTGTAACATCTAGCCACATGAAAAAGACCTTAAAAGTTTCTAACAATTCTGTGCATTGTGGATTGGTTTTAATAAAGTAAATGTCAATTCATGAATTTTTGTATTTCTTTTATGGATCAACATGGCTTTGTTTTTATGTTAAAATGTCACTGTCTCGCATCACTACAGTTTAATTCATTACTCATCTGTGTTCTTGCCTGCATTGATGTTTTTCTCAGCAGTATGCCATTCTAAACTTTTACTTTAAAAGGAACATAAATTAATCTAGCTTCTGCTGCTGCTGAAATTTAATCACAAGATTTTAGTTTGACTGACATCTTGATTAATATAATGCTAGAGAATTCACATCCCAGTCCAGAAACTGTTCCAATTTATACCCAATCCAAAACTTGACATTTTCTTTATATTAATTACTGTACTTAATCAGGCCAAGTTCTGTGAAAGTCTGGTGTGCTTTCCCAATAGCAGCTACTCAAACACCTCTGTGTGCTTGCAAGGGGGACATGAAGGTGATGCTGTTTCCCTATGTTTTGTTTCTAGCAACTGGTATACTGACTATTTAGCTGTGATAGTCGATAGCTGTTAAGCATACAAACTATTGACAGTTATATTATCACATATCTTTTGGTAATGACTTTTGATAAGATGACTTATCTTAGGATGGAGAAAGTAGTAAGGGAGGCAGCAAAAGAGTTGTCATAATGAATGATTCTTATATTATCATACTGATAGGTGTTAGTCTGAGTTGGAGCAACAGGACTAGAGTTCCACATATAATAACCCGTAATGTAGTCAACTAAGGAGAAACTAATTCTGGGTTTACTTCTGAGTAATGCTCTGTATCTGATATTAGAGGAAAATGTTGAACTAATCAGAAATCATTACTTTCAGATCCAACAAATAAACAGAGTTATCCAAGAAGGTTAGCACAATAATATTTAGACAGAAAATAGAAACATGATTTTAAAATGTGGAAGTCGAATGGTAAGAGGCAAGTACTTACATCCTTTTGGACAATTGGAGATTATTTAACTGTATTTATAATAATGGATATTACAAATTAGTTATGATACCAACAGGTCCATCAGGATATCAGCATGTTTACTTAGAGTGAAAAAAGTTATAAAAGGCAAGAAGTCCTTTAAAATTTTTGAGTCTTACTCAAAATAAAAAATATCAAAATTTCTGCCAAAAGAAATAAATTGGTGACAATAGGGCAAGCAAAAAATAATGTGGAGGACCATATTGCTAAAACATTTAACTTTTTTTGTGTGTTTATTTATTGTATTTGCCATGTTCTGGAGGCTGTCTGGGCAGCTTACAAAAACAAACAACAACATAGCAATTAAATAAAACAATAGAATAAATAAAACAATTTAAAATTTAGGACAGCAGTCAGGAAGGAGGATGGATTGTTAGATTACAAAAGTGTAAAGCATAATTAGGTAATTATTTTCATTTTAACTGAGAAGGATGTTGGACTGATGCTTGAACCATTTTGGGTATGTGTGGAAGGGGGAGGGTACTTGAAGAACTAAAATTGCAGTTCTATGCACATGTACTAAATTGTATTGAATACAGTGGAATTTACTTCCAAGTTAGCATGCAGAAAACTCTGCTGCATGTGAAATAGATGTAGCAAGATTTTAAGTTTAGAGTTAATTGGAAAAGTCACCAGATTCAGATACTGTATGCCAGTGAATTCTTAAACTCAGGTGTAATCTTCAGTCAGACACATGCTGATTGCTACTAAAATCAGCCTCTTTACTAATGGATTAGAAACTAGCTAATATAACTTTTTTAGAGATCTGCTAGAAAGCAAGGACATTAATAGGGCCATTAGTCTAATGTCCATGCTGAAAAAATGGGGTTTATTAAAGATGGAATGATTAAGCAGTATAGAAAAACAACTTGCCTTGTTGAGGAAGAATCTAAAGGAAGTCCTGTTTCACCAGTCTTTGAGTGGGAGTTCCAGTTGTGTTCCAGTATGTACTGGTACAACCAGGATTTTTGACTCAATATACATTGTGCTTAAGGCTGGTATTTATGTTCAATATGGGTAATGGCCTAACTAGATCCTGGCAAAAGCGGATGCCCCTCTCTACTGGGGAGCAAAGAAACTCAGTGCTTACTTAAGCTGTTACCCATTTTTTTTTGTTATAGATGGAATTTAATTTTAAACAAGATACTTAAAGGTCTTGGAATTCGGTTTCCAATATGATCCCCTAAGCACTTGGTTAACTAAGCCAACATACACACATCTTCAGATGTAAGGGCAACTAAATCTATGACAAGCCTTTAAAGGGTGTCCTACTTTTCAACTGTGATATCAAAGAAAATCATCCAGTGTCTTGGAAGCATAGAAAAGAGAAACAGAAAAAATGCATTGTTCCTGGACAATAGAGAATACTCAGCACATGTATTTAGGCATTCAGAGGTCTCTGCTTTTCTGTGTTTCCACCCCTCTGGATCTATTCAAATGATCTGCCCTCAGAGGTTAATGGATTGCTGAAGGCTCTTTTCAACTGGTAAGTTTGGTGCTTTTGTCAAAGCTTTTGGTATCTTTTTGAAATGGAGAGAGAACTTGGCAAGTTTAACACTGTCACTTCAAAACACCTTGTTCCATTGAGCAAAGCCCATGTGGCTTTTCAGTATACACCTGAACTGAAGGTTGTTGTTGCTAGTTGGAAAGTCTCATCCGACCCATTGTGACCCCATGGACAACACTCCTCCAGGCCTTCCTGCCCTCCACCATCCCCCCTCCCCCAGTCCACTTAAGCTCACACCGACCCCATCTATCCACCTCATCCTCTGCCATCCCCTTCTTCTTTTGCCATCAATTGTTCCTAGCATTAGGGTCTTTTCCAGTGAGTCCTTCCTTCTCATTAGGTGGCCAAAGTATTTGAGTTTCATCTTCAGTATCTGGCCCTCTAAAGAGCAGTCAGGGTTGAACTCCTCTAAGACTGACTGGTTTGGTCTCCTTGCAATTAGATCTAATTCTAAGCAATTAGAACAGGGCTGAAACAGAGGTAGAGGAAAACGCATGACAAGTCTGATCAAGCACAAAGCTGACTCCTTTATTAGGCATACATTGTGGC